CAAAAAAAAAAAAAAAAAAAAAAAAAAAAAAAATCAGATATTCAATATGTTTTCATAAAAATTGATGAAATATAGTGTTGAAAATGAATTAGATGAAAGAAATACGTTTTGAAAAAGGGAGCCAGACAAAGATTGTTGTATATTGTTCAAAAATCAATCAATCAAGTGTGGAATGAAAAGTGGAACCAGAGGTCTAAATTTTGGCCTATGTGACCACATAAGCCAAAATCGCTTACGGACTGCATGGCCATTTGCAGAAATTGGAGGGTCTGCCGTTGAGAGTTCTATGTGGCTGCATAGGTTTAATCTATGCGGTTGCATAGAACGATTTTCTAGCCGTTAATGGCCATTGCTATTTGAATTTCTGGTGGCTTTTCACTTGATTTTGGCACCATTTCGTGTAGTCTTATTGAAGTCTATATAGGTGATTGACATTCATTACAAATTACATAGAAAAAACCAATTTGGTGATTACATTGTCATTCCACAAAAGATAAAAATCCTCTTATCATATTTATTTCCTTATGTTCTTGAGTTTTGGAAGATATTACTAGTGCTTACGTGTTATATTTTCTTTAAGGCTTGATAAATCCTACAAACCATTTGCCAAGATCCCTGTAAGCATCAAAGTCAATTTGGAAAGGGAAAATTTTGTATGAGGATAACGATTACGTGTTCGGGCCTTCTTCATCTTCGTTTTCTATTTTGGTTTTAGTCTTCGTTTGTTCTCTATTCTCTGTTTGTGAAGGCATATTTACAACATTCCCAAACAAAATTTTGCAATGCATAATGGAAGTAATATGGCTACGATCAAGTTATTGAATCAAGACCTCGTTCGCTTGGATCGCTTTGAGGGCACTATCTTCATGAGATGGCAAGACAAATTAAAATTCTTACTAACGGGGTTGAAGATATTCTACATATTAGATCCAGAATTGGTACCGCTACCAGAACAACAAATGGAGAAACAGATGCCATAAAAGCCGAAAGAGAAAAATCCCAAGAAGGTGAACTCATATGCCATGGCCATACTCTCAATGCTCTATTTGATGGGCTGTACGATCTATACACCAACACATCATCAGCAAAGGAAATCTGGAACACTTTGAAAAGTAAGAGCCTATTTGTCTCCCATTATGAGAGAAATTATAGAGTTTTGAATAGTATTTTTTGGAGAATGTGTGATTAAAATTTAAAGAAGCTTTATTTGTTTCTGTGTAGAATATTTTATTATGTGAATGTGTGGTGGAGAATGTTACTGCAGCAAACAATTTAATTTGTTAGACACTATAAGAAATTTATACTTTCCCTACAAATTTTTCGTTGAAAAATTGAGATTTGTAGGGAGAGTTTACTTTTTTCCCACAAAAAATGAGTTTTTATAGGGCTATAATTTGCTTCAAAATTTTCAATATTAGAGGATTTGTGCCCACAAAATTTATATTTTCTCCCAACAAAACATTTGGTGGGCAAGATATAATATTAGTAGGCTAATAATTAGAGGGAAAAAATTTCGGTTCCCCCCTCTTCCTTAATTTTAGCCCACACTTGAATTACCCACTTTTGACATCAAGTGAAAAGATAAATGAAAGAAAAAAAAAAAATCAGAATTGTTTCCTAAATTCATTAGAAATAAACCCACGTTAACTGGCCAGAATTGTTTCCCTAATTTTCCTCCTTGCTTCCAAAACCCTTTCCCCAAATAATTCCCTTCTCACTTTGCCACTTTAGTTTAATTGGCCAAACCTAATTCCAATTTTCTCACCCTCCAAATTTCTTGTGTGTGATATAATACTTTCTCCAGGATTTTGCAAGAAATTTTATTCAACTCGTCAAATTGCCACGATTGGCTGCAATCGATTTTGCAAGAGGGAATTATTCAGCCACAATTGGTTGTGATATAATTCTTTCACCAGGACATAATATTCATCTTGGGTCAAAAAAATTTCGACTGAATCGACTACACATTTTGAGCTCTTCAAGTTGTCTTCAAGGTATGCCAATCAATCCTACTGTTAATTTGTAAATTGTGTAGAAAATATAAGTACATAATCTTGAATTTTGAGATTATGTTTTCAATTTCTCGCTATGGAAAAGCAAATAAATATGGAGGCTGTTCTTCTGTATGAATTTTTAGATTACATTTTGAGATTTGGCATATTTAAAGTTTTGAAGTTGTCCTTTTTGGTTGGTTGTTGCGGTGAGATAGAGTGGGATTTTATCCCCAATTTTAGGGAGACGACGGGACCAGGAAATAAAGGGGAAGTGGCTGGAAGAGGGGTAATGGAATCTGCCGAACACAAGCTTTCCCATTGGTTCAATCAAAGACTAAGCACTTCTAATGGATTTCATTATACACGTGATTATTTTAATCAAAGGACGTCGGAATCTGCCGTAGATTGAGGAGTAATGGAATTTTTTTCAAGGCATGGAGATAACACAACATGGGAATATATGATTTTTCTTTGGTGGAGTGCAGTGAAATTTGCTTGCTTTGTGACTTTTGACATTATTTTTGAGATTTTAATTTATTTTTTCGATTTTTCGAAGAAGATGGTTTTTCTGAATTAGAGTGTGTATCATATAATCAAGAATTTAGTACATTTGGCACTTTGGCAATGGATTCCAATTCATCAATTTCTTTTGTATATGTTATTTCTATGGTTGGAAAAGCATTGTGCTTTAATATTGCAATGAGAATGATGATACTCTGATTGCAAATAATATATTCATGTAAAGAACAAGTGTTAGACTTATAATATATCATCATTAGAGCTAAATAATAGCTTATCTAACTTTATTTGGTTTGGAATTATTCTCTTCATTGGAGCATTGGATGATTTTGCAGAACTAGGAAGTCAGCTTTAGCTTCTTTGAAATGTGGAAACAAAAGTGCAGCCCTGAGATGTGCAAAAGAACTAAAGCTGACATCTCAGAGTCAAGATAAATGCGTAAACCTTTTGGACCAAGTTGAAGAAGTTCTCAGAGTTATCTTTGACGCAAAGTCCTGTAATAAGGTTGTTAATAATCCAATATTTCTTAGTTGCACTACTTTATTTATGAAAATTGCAATAGTTGGGAACTATTTGCGTCAGTGCTTGATGTAGGCTATAGTTGAGAAAGTTCTTTTAACCTTCCAGATGGATGATCGGAGTTTTTGACAGTTGGTCACTTCAAGGACATTCTTGAAACTGATAATTGTTTCTGTTTTCACTCACCTTATTACCTCCGATGTAGGTTTTTGAGGCTATCCAAATAAGTACACATGCATTGAAGGATAATCAGACAACTGTTGAAGAAGTTAGTCTGTGTCTTTAGCATCTTGATGAGAGCATTGATTCTGTGAAGCAAGTGGACAAAGTTTTAGGTAATTTCTGCTATCCTAATTTGAATTGTAGATTTCAAAGTTGGGGACATAAATTATTTGCATTAACGTTGATAACTAACCAAAATGATAAAGATGGGTAACAGGAATTACTTCATGCAACTTTACTATAATGGTTGGCTTTGTTACTGAATGAGATGATTGAGGAACCAGTAAATGTGAAATGTTCTGGTTCTTCATTTAACATAGGATCCATTATTTGTTTTTTAGTATGTTTGGCTAAGCCTAAAATAATGTTAACATACTTGAAAGTAACATCTTCACCAAATACATATGTAAGCTTAAAGGTTGTAACATGTTCTTTTTCACATGTTTGGACTTTTAAAAAGTCTTGTACTTTTCAAAAAGTACTTGGTACTTTTTTATGATTAGCCAAACATGCTCTATGTGGGAATGTATAGCACAATTGTGAGTAGCATCTAATCTCTGTTGGACTGAGAATTGACAACAATGGATGAATTCAAGGCTCCAAAAGGTGCTTTAAACTTGCCAAATGAGGAGTGACTATTTTAGCCCTTTACAATGTTCCCGGATACTATCCTTTGTAGTAATCTAGTTTGATAAATGTTGTTCTATCTAACACGTGTTTCCCAAAGTCGACACATTTGAGTTCGCTTATGCGGGAAAGAACAAGTGTGGACTTATTATGTAGCTAAAGCTCAACATGAAAGAAAGACTCAGAATTATAACTTTGTTTTCTTTATCGTGTTTTATACCAAGTTAGACACAAAAGAATATATTGCAAAGTTAGATCAATAGAGGCTAGAAAAATTAACATTATGTTAAGTAGTATGACAATTTTTGTATGATTTTGTTGTGGTTTTTTTGGAAGTGGACACTGGCATGGTCAAAATGTTTTAGAGAATCGATTATATCTCGTGCACAGTTATGTTATATCTCTTGCAAAATTTCATTTTATGACTTACTTTATATATCTTGTGAATTGTGTTTGTAGGATGAGATGCTTGTAAAAGAGTATGAATATCTTGTACAGAAGGCAAAGGAACACAAACTTCTCGAAGATATCCCTTTGGAGGAGATATCAGTAGATGATCCTGATGCTAGAATTAATATCATAATATTTGTTCTAGGTACGAAGCCTGGACGTCAAATTCATGGGTTGGGAGATGGTCACCTTAGAGACATTCGCACATCTTTTAATGTACATAATTTGGAGAAAGAGTTAGAAATAGAACGCGCTGTTTGAAAGGCAGCTAATGCAACTCTAGTGAAGATTGAGCAAAGGATGCAAAATAAGATGAAGGTTGTTCAGAAACAATTCAATTCTACATTGCAATTTTGGCATCATTCTATGCACTAGATAAGTGGTAAAGTTCCTGGCTTTGTTGTGCCCCAATTTACGCCATTATCAATAGAAAATAATGCTGATGAGGAAGATGATACTATTGAGGATGAAGAGAATAAATTTGGTGATGATAAATCGCATATCTAATTCATGAGGATGAAGAGTTATTTTGTTAGGTGCATATAATAATAGATATAGAGAGTGTTTGCTATACTCATTACTCTTTTTAAGTTTAGATTTAATCATACTTGGTGAATGAATTTTATTTGTGTTTTGATAAAATATTTTGGATTCAATGTTATATTGATTGACACTACAAGTTTTAATTAATTTATTATTGTTTTGTATCTTTATATTATTTTGAGTGAGTTAAAAATTTACTGTAATATAAATAACAAATAAAATATAAAAAATATAATTTAATTTCTCCTTACGAATTGTTTCATAATAGTCTACACATAAGATTTTTCCTACAAATTTTTTTTTATAGATAAACAAGGGTTTAGCCACAAAATAATTTGTTATCCTGTCATCACAAATTCTTAATTGTTGGGAAAAATGTATTTTAGCCTACAAATATTCTTTCCACACAAAAAAATACTTATAAAGAAAACACGATTTAGCCCACAACAAAATTTGTGGGGAATAGAGAAACATTTTCATGGGCAAATGTAACTTTAGCAGACGAATAATTTTGTCGGGGGAAACTTTACGCGATGAATTATATTTGTCTCCAAAGGGTTCGTAGGGAAAAACTTTAGCTCACAAATTTAAAAAATTTATCGCCTTTTACCTATCCCTTCGATGTTTGCCCCACAAATGTGCCTACAAATTTATTTCGTCTGTAAATATTTTTTCGCACAAATACGAAACTTTTCCTACAAAAAAAAGTTGTAGGGAAAACATAAAATTCTTGTAGTGAGAGGATGATAAATAGGGGTTAAGTACAAAGTTGGAGAAGAAAGTACTAAGAAATTTTTAATTTCAAAGTCGTTTGATTTCAAATTTCTTGATAATATTAATCTTTTGCCACAAATTCATGAATTGCAAGATTGTCAATAAGTTGAAGGCGGTCAAAATTGAAATTTCGGAAACTTTTCAAGTGGAAGCAACTATTGTAAAACTCCTTGGAACTTGGAAAATATATTAGAAGAAAATCATGTATAGTTTCGAAGATTATTCTTTGGAATAATTGCAGAAACATCTTCGAATAGAGGAAGAGTCTTAGGCAAGAGATAAGAACAATAATTCTTATGGGATACCATTTTGGGTATCAAAGTTGCTAAAGCTAGTGCGGGTTATAATTTAAGTCAATCACATTATATTGAAAATGTTATAAATAAGTTTAAGCATTTGAACATAAAAGAATATAGTACTGATATTGATCCAAATTCAAAACTTATGAAGAATGATGGCAGGGCAGTTGCTTAATTGGAGTACGCAAGTGTTATAGAGAGTTTAATATATGCATTTCAACACACAAGACCGGACATAACATTTGCAATTAGTAAATTTAGTAGGTTTCCTAGGAATCCGAGCAATGAACATTGCAAGATTGTTGGAAGAGTTCTTAGATACTTTAAGAAAACCAAGAACTTAGGTCTACAATATAATAGATTTTCGGCTATATTAGAAAGATTTACAGATGCTAGTTGGATATCTAGCATAGAAGAAAGCAAATCTACTTCGAGCTGGGTGTTTATCCTTGGAGGGCGAGCTGTTTTTTGGAAATTAAAGAAATAGACATGTATAGCGCTATTAGAAATCAAGAAGAAGCTGAGTGTCATAAGGATATACTATATAAGATACCTTTGGGATCGAAGAACGTATCTTCGATACCTATCATGTGTAATACTTAAGCCACATTAGCAAAATCATACAACAAAGTAGACAATAAGAAGTCTAGACATATGAGTCTAAGATATGACTACATAAGAAAATTAATCAAAAGTGGAATAATTTCCTTGAAATATGTTAACTCAATTGAGAATTTAGTGGATCTTTTAACTAAACCTCTAGAACGAGATTTAGTAACTTCTACTTCGAATAGGATATGATTGAAACTCTTAAACTAAAAGATCCACCAATGATGGCAACAATACCTGTTATTGCTTAACAAGTAATTTACGGGTTCGAAGGGTAATAACAAATATTTCGATATGTGAATAGTTTCAGCATTATAGATTTGTGACAACCCTATTCTAATTGAATAATGCTGGTTTTTACTAAAATGAGGGTTGAACTTTAAGTTCTTGATGAAGTTTAATACTATAAGTATCTCTATAAGTAATAAAGATACTGGAAGAATTTCACCTAAATGAATTTCGAGGTAGTGCCGCCTCAATAAAAAGTTAGAGTTTCTCTCTTAAAAGCTTGTAAAAAAGGATGAATGCAAGGCCATACTAGCACTAAGAGAGATTGATGAACTTGAGAATGCATGATACTTGTGTGTATGTTTTTATTGGCATTGTTATATAGAATAACCGATTCAAAGCTTCAACGCTACCTTTGATTCTGACTTTACCATTGATAACTGTATTTTTATACACTTATTCAGGTCCTTAAATGATGATATTTAGTAGTTTCTTTGATTAATTATGATCTAAATTGTTGCATTTGGTGTTGAATAGGTAAAATTCAATGATAGTACAAAAATTGGAAGAAACAAGAAGAAAACTTGGAAAATCGATGAAAATGGCAAGATTTAAAGCTTGGGGATCAAAATGTAAATACTCAAAAATTGTGTCGAACCTTTTGATGAAGATTCGAGAGTGTTAGGAGTCAATTGGATGAGGAAAGAAGTCAAATGAGTAAACTAGAGTTGAAGTATTCTCACAAATCGACTTTTAGTCGAAAAAATTACACTCTGAAGTTTTTGGCCTCAACTTGATACCTATTTTTTTGGTTAGAAAAAGTTTGAATTGGAGAAATTCTATTTCGAGAAGAATTGTAGCCCTTTGAGTTATTTTTTCAACGCATTTTGAATCACCTTAATCGGATATCGAGAGAGGAAGATATGACCAAAAATACTGAAAGCTGTCCGACGAGAAAAACATATAACTGTGCGGTCACATGGTTTTTTTAAACCATCCGGTTGCACACCACCATGCAGGAAGAATTCTAGGCATCCAAGTGCTGAACCATGTGGTTGCATGGTATAAAAATTCATTTGATTCCCAGGTTCCCTTATATGATCCAAACTCTGTTTCGCGAGGATTTTGGTGAGATCTTTGACCTAAATACGTACCATATAAATACCAGACAGTCCTAGAACGTTAAGAACTATCTCTTGTATACATTAAAATACATCAAACACATTGGGATTTTGAGAGAGATTGAGAAAGAATTCAAAGGTTTTGACACAGTACAAAAAGAATTTCTACTCATCGGAAGGACGATACATACAACCGGAGATTTGAAGGCCGAATTCAAGGGAGCAAAATATCAAGTAATCCAAGTTTTGAAGAATCAATTGGAAGAAGGAAAAGATCCTGGTGTAAGATCGATTTCTTATTCTACATTCATATACAAAGCCGAGTGATGTCTTCCATAAAATTATTTTGTTTTTCTTCCATTAATATAAGTAGCTAAATCTAGTTTAGGGCGAACACAGTAACCAATTTGGGAATCCTTATTTCTTTTATTTGAGATTCTTGTTCTTTATATTTTATGTTTTGATTTTTGTTATGAATTTAATACATTTAATTACTTGATCACTAATTAAATGATTTTGTAAATCTTTTACGAATCGATGGTGGGTTTAAGATTTAGACCATATAGTAAAATTCAATAAATTGATATAACGTGTAGAGATACCTATATTAATTGTTGCGATCATAAAGGAATTCTTAGAACTATTATTTTATTTGAATAATGTTGATTCGCATGAGATATGAAATTGAGTTATTTAANACATATTCCTATCCCTATTCAGCCAATTGGACAAGTGACTGCAAGAGTAGCAACACAACAAGAATAGCAACATAAGTGAGGAGCTATAAATGAAGGAGATTTGCCCTCTCAATATTCCTGACACCTATAGCAGCACCCATGCACTCCAGTATTGTGTATCCGGATTTTGGGATGAATAATTTTCATATTAGGCTAGAATGTATTGATTTGATGAGCAACACTCTCCAACTCTACGGATTACCTCATGAAAATTCGAACACCCATATCTTCATATTTCTTAGGAACTGTTAGAACTTCCATGCTTTGAGAGTTAATGAAGATGCTATTAAATTCTGATTATTCTCATTTACACTGAGAGATGCTGCATTGGAGTGGTTGGATGCGGAGCCTCACGAGAGTATTATTAGATGGGAAGAATTGTCCATAAAATTTTGTAACAAATTCTTCCCATCAGTGAAAGTAGCTAAAATCAGATTGGAGATTCAAACATTTCAACAGAAAAAGGGAGAAAGCTACCACTAGGCATGGAACAGATTTAATGAATTGATGAGAAAGTGTTCAAACAAAGGGATCACTATAGGCAATCAATTGCATTACTCTATACCGGACTTACACCACTGTCAAAATCTTAAGTAGATGCCTCTGCTGGTGAGTCAATTATAGGAAAATTAGTGCAACAAACCATTGACCTGCTTAAGTTAATTGCCACCACGCATTCAGTGTTCTCATCAGAAAGAGTGGAACCACCAAAGGTAGGGGAATGTATGAAATAGACAGCACATAATCTACCAATGCACAGATCGTAGCTCTGACAAAACAAGTAGAGTTATTGGTGAAATCACAAACAAGATGATCATATGCAGTGATGGCCAGTCCATCGTGTGAGAATTGTGATGCCAATCATCTGACAGAAAATTGCACATTTACGAGATTTTTGGAGGAACAAGTTAACTTTATTCAGAATGGATCTCGAAATTTTAATCCCTTTTCACAAACATATAATCTAAGATGGAAGCAACACCCAAACTTTAGATTGTTGGATAATCAACAAAGGAGTAGTTCAAATAATGCCCAGCCACAGAAAAAATCAAGTTTGGAATAGATGTTCAATTAATATGTACAGAAAACAGAAAAGATGTTTCAAAAAAATTGACACAAACTTTTAGAATCAGCAAACATCTATCAAGAAGCTGGAGACACAAATTGGTCAGATAGCTCGACAACTGGCAGAACATTCCCAACGAACATTATTGGACAATACTCCGACTAATCCAAAGGAGCAAGTGCAATCTATTACAACCAGAAGTGGGGTACAACTTCCATAGATACATGTAAAGAGACCAGAAAGAAAAGATAAAGAAGTAATGGTTGAAGAGACGAAGAAAAAAGTAGAGTCTGAAG